ACTCCTTTGTGAAAGAGTACTGTGCAGTGGTGAGTGATTTACGACCAACACGCAGCTTTTATTAACTGTAATTTATTGCGATGTGGCCTGAAAAGTATAAGCCGATTCAAGTAGAGCAGAGAACAATGGCTCTTCTGCCCAGCCTAGATCAATGTGTCGCTTAATTTTAATACCAAGGCGGGTCCAAATGAGAAGCTCAGCTGAATTCCTAAAACTTCAATTAATGTGACACTTCTCACCTCTTTGAGTATGTCTTTACAGACAGGTTTTGATTTCAAACCAGGGGGAATGGGGCAAACATGAAGTAAGTTTTTTTTTTTAAAAAAGTCCCGTTAAACTGGACTTTGGCTTGTTTGCCCCTTGGTGAAGATCCAAACTGCAAAACAAAACAACATCTTAAAGGTCTCTTATAAATAACAGTCTCAGTCTGGTCACAAACAAATTATGAGTTGCTTTGTTATTATGGGGTGGGACTGTGATCTGACTGAGCTCTGACCCAGCCACATGGCACACTTTGCATGTGAGCAGGTGTGCTTTCCATAGTAGGATGACAGGTATACTAAATACCAGAGATTTACCAAATAATGCTTGAAAACACTGAAGGGCTCAGGCTCACTCTGCAGCTGAAGAAGAGGAAATTTGATTCATCCGCAGTGTGATTTATCGATTTAGTTAAAAGGCAACGGTATACTGTGAAAGATACACTGAGCCAAAACGCTGGTGAGTCAAATCAGTGTTCTTATGTGGCCTTTGGTGAGTTATTTTGGTTTGTCTGAATTTTTGAATCCTTTTGTTACCATTCAATACCAGGTGCAATATGTAGCCTGAACAGGTACTTCACTGGCTTAGCTAATAAAAATAAAAATACCAAATAATGCAAATGTCAAGTCACAGGTGTTTGTGTCATTAGACTGCTGTTCAGGGGAAACAGGACAGTTATTTAGGTCTCCTTTAAGGCTTAAAGCTATATAAAATTAACAGTGTGGCCATTTTGCCTAAAGATGCGGTTCATTCTTGTAGAAAGTGCTCATATTGAGTAAAAAAAAGTACCAGTCCATTTACTATCCTAGATTATTTCTATTTGTTCTGCTTATTATATTTTAGTATATATTTTGTTTGGGCTCACTTTTCAGGAGAGAAAATTGACATCCCATTTGCTGTTACAGTTAATTCTAGACCATGGCAAAAAGAAAATATACTTTCTTTTGATACTAAGGCTTTTGATTAGCAGCTAATCAAATGCACTTGATCAACTGAGTATGAGCAAGTGTGATCACGTCTATAAAAGCAGAAGTTTTGGCAGTTTGCTGGTCTGTGGCATTCAGGTGGAAAGACGTCAGCAGTGATCCTACAGAAACAATTCTTGCTGCCCATCATTCTTGGAAGGGTTGTAAGGCTATTTCCAAATTATTGGAATTATTTACAAATGGAAAACATTCATAACAGTTGCCAATCTCCTCTGAAGCAGACGTCCCAGCAAATTCACACCAAAGACAGACTGTGTAATTGTCAGAGAAACTGTAAAGAAAAATCAAACAAACAAAGAACTACATCTCAAACTCTACAGGCTTCACTTAGCATGATAAATGTTAAAGTTCATGACAGTCCAATTAAAACAAAACTGAACAAGTATGGCTTGTTTAGAAGTGTTTCCAAGAGAAAAATCCACTCTCTCCAACAACACCATGGAGGCACAGTTTAGGTTAGCAGAGCTACATCTAAACAAACCACAAGACTTCTGGAACAATGTCCTTTAAACAGATGAGACCAAAGTGGAGATGTTTGGTCATAATTCACAGCACCACATTTGGCATGACAAACACCACAAACTAAAGCATACACTGTACGGTATACCAGCTGTGAAGTATGGTGGTGGAGAGATGATGATTTGGGCTTGCTTGGCAGTTACAGGACCTGGGCGCCTTGCAGTCACTGTGTTGCCCACAAACTCCTCTGTATAGCAAAATGTTCTAGAGTTAAATATGAGGCCATCTGTCTGATACCCGAAGCCTAGCTTTAATTAGATCATGCAACAGGGCAATGATGCCAAGGACAGCAGCAAATCTCCAACAGACTGACTGATCAAGGTGTTTCAGTGCTTTTAGGTGCTTTTTTGGTCCTTTCTTTATTTGTTTTGTACCATCTACCTGATAGTAACAGTTAAAATACTGAGTGACCAGGGCCAGATGGATGCTTTTACGATGTTAGTGGCAGTTTTGAGGCAGCGGGGACTGTGCAAGTCCTCTAGAGCAGGGAAGGAGCATCCAGTAATTTTTCTGGGCTGTGTTGCTAACCCCCTGGAGCTCATTTTCTGTTGTACTGTGCAGCAGAACCAAACATATATAGCCACTTTGAGATTACCCACTGTTTCTTTGAAGCCTTAGTGATAGCATTTTGACTGCTGCCATATTACAATTTTATTGCCAGAAGTGACCAAATCCAAGGAAGAATAAACTTCTGAGATAGTCTGTATCACATCACAAACTCTACCGAACTATGCAAATACCATAAAAAATACTGTTGATATAAATTCATTAAAAATACTTTAAAAGGCACCAACAGTATAAATACAGTAGAGAGGATCGGGCAAGTGATTTCATTTAGTGGAGATGAGTCCACACAGGTAAAATTTGCTAGGCAGATGGCACAAGTCAATGAAAATGGCCACGCTGCCAATAAATCTTATGAATAAATATTATTTTTGTTGGTAACGGTACTGGTTTTATGTTGTTGTATTTATCTGTGACGCCTTGAAGGCTGATGTGTGAAAATATTGTCGTACATAAACCGGTTTTTGGTGCATAAAAGGTTGAGGACCGCTGGTCTACAGAGGTATAGCATCCTTTGTGGGTAGTATAAATTAAGTAAAAGGATGCACATGTCTTTAAATTGCTTAAAAATGCTGGTAGTTGGTCACAGAAACATTTTATCATTACAGAAGGACACACTGTGAGCACATGTTTGTGTTGGATAACTCCTTTATGGATTTTACCCATCCTATCATCACTATTTGAAGCTTTCCTTGAGTTGAGAGACAGACCGTAGTCTTTCACCCTGAGGCTATGTTCGTGTCAGGATTCAGTTTAGGGTGTGACAATGAGGATCATCTGGCTCATATCAGCCAAACAATCACGGTTCAGTGCCCTCAGACAGGCGGAGAGACAAGTTGGCCCAGACATGCCACAGAGAGGTGCTGACAGCACCATCCAGGACAGTCTCTGTCTGCGTGATCCGTCTTTATATTCCCCTAGATAAGAAGACTCTGAATTAATTACACTACAGGCATCTCTAAAATGCTGGATAGCTTTGCGCCCTTTACGTCTTGCTGGTGCTGAGAGAGAGATGTTCCTCCTTGTTGTCTTCGCCATGAAGCCGCTCTTCAAAGGTTATCAATCTAAATTCCAAGGCAGGAATTAGAGAGACAAGGAGGATGAAATAGATCTGAAGAGCTTTGATGAGAGAGGTTTACCATGAAGGAAGCTTTCAAAGCACAAAAGGCTTCTCCGCTCCTGTTCTTTGCCTTCTGTCCCCCTTGTCATTTTCAAAGATTACTACAACACTCATACTGCCACAGTCATACTGTAGCTTTGAGCTACAAACTGAACTCATACTGGTGGCAGGTTTCATGTACAACGCTGCTCGCTTGTCTCTTTCTGTTTTTGCAGTCTGTAGTGTAGTGACATGTGCAGACTGCGGACCGGCTCCAGCAACAGATATCCTGCTAGCATTTTAATATCGAGAGATGTGGGAAGTGATAAAAGGAGAAAGAAAATAAGTAAGATGTCATCTGTAATCTCAAACACCAAATGTGAGCTTTCATTATTTTCACTGCCACCCCTTGTCTGGCTCCTAAGCACTGCCGTAACATTAGCCGTGTTGCTTGGAGCGACACCCTGTCAGGTAGAGTTTAGAGACTCACAGTATCCGGTAACCCTTCGGCAGGGTGAGTGTGAGCCGCAGAAAAAACAGCAAGAGAGCTGAAGAGAAACAATGAGAAAGACAAGTAGAAAGAAGAGTGAGGATTGATCGTGACAATTTGGAGCTGCCGTTGTCTCATGTGACCGCCTGCTGCCAAGGAAGCCAGATTAGGAATGTTTGAAAGTTACTCTATTGATATTTGCACAACACAATAACCAGGATCTGGGTTTGACGTTGCTCTCCATAATAATACATTAAGCTGCTCATAAACTATTTAAAGTTGTCCCTCTATTTGACTCCTAATCACTTCTCTGCCTTTAAAGGTTCAGAGGGAATGTGACGTGAATGCAAATTTGAATACAAAACAACACCGGCCCTCAACCTTTCACAGACGAAAGTCTCCATCACAGGTACACTCAGAAGTTTTTTCATTTACTTAATCGAAAAAATGATAATGTCTTTTTATAATTATTCTAATAGGGCGGGGTTTGCTGTCTGTGGAAGCTGTCATGTTTTCCCACCACATTTTAATACAGTGGCTAGGTAAGATGTTCTGACTAACACCGTTTTATGTAAGTGGCTGGAAACCGGCAACAAATGCCTGCTAATATTAGGTTAGAATGTCCTTAAAATCACACTTTAAACTAAACAAAAAACTGTTTGGTTATATTTGATTATACTCAACCTTTCCCATATTGCTGGCTAACAGTAGCTAACAGTAGCTAGCAGAGGCTAACGCTAGCTAACCGTGGCAAAACAGCAGCGTTTACTGGCACCAAGCTTAAGCATATCCTCAATAACTCACTTCAGTATCACTGACATTGGACAGAAGTCATCTTCACTGACTCATTGACATTAAGGTTTTAAAGCCTCCTCCAGAATAAATAAAGGTGGACACTTCTCAACTGTCATTAGCAGCTAAAATAAACAATGGACTTAGCATCTAAACAATATGGAAAAAATTTGAGACGTATTTGCTCCAGAGTCACTTTGCTATGTGAGTACACTCACTGCAGATGAAAGGTGGCCAGAGTTTTTGAGGAAAAAAGGTAAAATGCTGTAAAAACTTTTAACTGACCTACCTGTTAATATTTGTCAACCTTTCTGCTGTGTTTTCAAAGTAGTTCTGGACACTCACATCCCATAGAGCAGCTCAGACTGATCTTTAGTTGTATCAAATAGTCCACAGGACACAGTTATTGTCACCCCAAATAAAGTAAATGTAGGATTTAGATTTGAATTGCAACTTATGAGGTAAATCTTTTAAATATAGAATAGAGATTACATATTATCCTTAGTCTAGATATCAACCACCTCAGCATATTTATATACAGTTAGGTTGTAGTCGGAGGAGTACTGACCAATCAAGTATGATCAGCTTTGGCTGCATGAAAGAACAGTGTACACGAGGAGTTTAGAAAAGAAACTCAACTTTTTACTAGGATATATATATATATATTTTTTTTATTTTATTACCCTTATTGAGTTATTTGCAGTCATAACAAGACTGTAAACGATGACAGGCACATGGAACGGGAACACATAGATATCGTGATCTGTTATGCAGATATTCACTGGCTTCACCCACAGCCCTGACACATTGGCCGTTGCCGCTGGAAACTAAGTCACCAGAGGTTTGCCTTGGTTTCCTATGCTGGCGAAGATGAATATGGGGAAATTGGATAAAAGTCTAAATGTTTTCAGGAAATACAGTGACTTAGTCTGACTTCTTCCTGACAGGTTTCTAAAAGAAAAAAAATCTAATTTCCTGATGGTATTCACCTCAGTTTTCACTCTGACTGAATCTATACATCGATACGTCAGAAAATGCCTTTTTATTTTGTCCACATTAACCCTGACTTATACGTGTCACATAGCTGTGTAGCTTTTTCCAGTCTCAGTTTGGATACTTCCTGTCCCCCCCCCCCCTCTGTCTCTCGCTCTTTGTTTTCTGTTCATTTTGCTGCCTGTGCACAAACATGTCTGCTGTCTGCTTGCCTGCCTTGCAGCCAGCAGGTTTGAGGCCTATATTTAATCACCACAAGGCTTAACTCCCTCCGTCGGTGACGGCTCATTTGACGTGGCGGCCCTGGGCTCTCTCTTTCCGATCCAGTGCCAAATACAATAACTCCTCTCTTTCGTTACCCTGCTGCATTTTATAATTTTGCTATTTTTCAATGTCAAGGCTGGGCCTTTTGAAGAGTTTTTATTGAATTTCCTGCTGGACCCTGCTGTTGGGGCTTTTTTTTTTTGCAGCCTTCACTGCCACCACGCTTTCTCCCAGAAAACCTTGCATTTTCTCCTGTTCTTTTGTTGTATTTCCCCTTTTGTTTAAACGCATATTTTTAAGTACAGTGTTTCGTTGTCTGTAATAAATTAAAGCCCAGTGCCCAGCGTGCAGAAAATCCCCTTGCATATTTACTATTAAAGGTTCTTGTTACCCATCTCTTTCCTCTGGGTAATATTATCTATCCCTCCTCAGTTACATGTGTTCGCAATTCTTAAGCATTATAAATCTTCTGCGGAGCTGTCATGAGTGTCTTGAAAGCATTAAAATGCCTGTTGTTTGACCAAATGGAAAGAGAGTGGATTCAAACAGTACTTCACTCTTCCTGTCTCCCGAGTTCGTAGGAGTTAATGCATTTGGCAGTAGCAGATGTCTTTCTCCGTTCAGAGTTGTGTGAAAGAATGTCACCCAAGTCTAATCAAATTATGGCTGTTATAGCAAACGTCAAACCTTCGCTTTAAATTTTAGCCTCTTGCCGCTGATGCTTCGTGCACTTTCTCGCCCCCTTTTCTTGTTGTGATAAAGCGGAGATAAGGCCTCAGCGAGGGCATGTATGGGAGGGTGCGCACTTTGATAATGTGGCTGCGGATCATATGGTTGGAATCAGTGTGTGAAAAAGAAAGGGTTCGTCTCCGTGCGCGCGCGTATGCATGCGTGCGTCAGCTCTTGTGACCTCTTAATATCACATCACATGTCTGATCTTATTCTTGTCTGCCATCTGAACTCCTGTCATGTGCTCCTTTTGCCAATCTGTCACACTTAATCTGAGCGGAAAGAAAAACTTAAGAGGAGAGCCTCCAGTGCCCCAGGAACGCTTGGGGTGGGGAGAAAAAAAAAGTAAGCGCAGAAACAAAGGAGGAGAAGGGGAAGAAAATCACAACGGCATAGCATTTCAGGGGCATGAATGGCATCAATGAGTCGCTTCGGGGGATAAACGGGGGGAGAGAAAGGAGGCAGAAAGATGAGAGAACAATGTGTCTGTTGTTCTTTAATCTGAAGTAAATCATCTGTCTCTCTCTCTGTCAGGTGTTGAGCTGTGCTCTCATCACACATGTGCTTCAAGGGTTTGTCCAGTACAGTTGCTGTCCTGATAATTAGGCCAGGTCTGTTCCTCTTTCTCATCTTTTCATATGTTTGGTCAATAGCTGGAAATGGCATATTAAAACCTTTTACTTGAATACAGCTTAAAATATAACTTTAAGGGCCACTTTAAGGTGGTCTGAGTCATGCTAACGTTACGCTTTCCAAGGCACATGTCAAAATTCTGGCAAGTTGTGTTTTTCGGCAAACTCTTTGTGGTTTTGTAAAAGGAGAGTGCAAACTAAAAACTACTGGACCACAACAACCACACCAAAAAGTACTAACAAATTTTACTTAAGGGTCCCTGGTACATTCTTATGTATTTGATAATCTAGCAGCCTTTCACTAATCATCAAGCCCGCAAACATGGTTGAAACGTGGACGTCATATAAACCAAAAAACAAACAAACCAAAAAGCATTTTAAAGCTATTTATGGTTTTACTAAATTCTAATTCATGTGTGGCATAGTGAACTTAACATGTTGGACTCTTAGAATGATCCCGTCTGTCTGTCAGCATTACAAATGGAGGAATGCTAATCCTGACATGGAGACAATTAGCTCAGTAGAATATGAGCTGGACCCAAAAGCCGAGGATGTTACTTTGAGTCACTGTTAAAGTGTTTTTTTTCCTTCTTTTTCTTACTACGGCGAAACTTTTAAAAAAAAAGTGTATTTCATTTTATTTGAATTGATAAAGACATAGAATTGAACTGAATTGAATAGAGAACAATTTTTCAGTTATGACTAGATATCAAAATAAGACCGTCACCCGATGGTTATTAAGCACCTAAAGGTTTGCTGGGATGGTGTAGTAATGATCCACCAAACACAGGAAAGAGCTAATTCAGATAAGTATTTAAAACCTTAAAAAACAGAAACCTAAAGCAGCACAAAATGAGAATACTTCAATACTGAACTAGAATCATCTACCTTTTACAGAAGGAAGACCGGATAAGGGCTCAAGATTGTGACATCATGACAGGATGTCATGGTGTCCGCATTGTGCTAAACTGTAATTTTGCATGCTTCTTTGTTTGATGCATGTGGATGGTAAAAAGAAACTAGTCCCTGGGATGCCAGCTTAGCTTACTTTCTTGCACAACTGCAACGCCATAGCCTGGGTTCGAATCCAATCTGGGGCTCTTTACTGTTTGTCCTCTTGGCTTTCCTGTTCAAGTTTAAGAAAAGAGCCCGTACATGAATTTGCTACCAGTAGTATATAAAAGCTTTGATTCCTGGAGAGAGACACCAGTTTTTTCTGTTTTGTTCTCATTAGACTGATACTCAGGTATACAGCATATACAATAGCATCCCAGATGCCGTACAAAATACATGACAGTACATATAATAGTGAAACATAATAGCGCAGGAAAGTCTTGTCTATGTCTCGTCACTGTTTTGTTCCATGCAAGCATGCGGCAGGTGTGCAGTTCACACTATTCTAGCCTATCCTGTGAAGATAAACACCCATGGCGGTGTTCTTTAACAGTTCATAGACAGAACATTTTAACTTGGATATTTCTCGCTGGTTTAGATTCGAGTCCTTGGAAGCTCTCGAGAGCCCCCAAGTCAAACGTGTTCAGATTTAAGCTGTTACAGACTTCACTTCCTCTAACTCAAACCATGAGTTCGCTTTGTGCTTGTCTGCCAAATGAGACAGCTGTTCAGGGTGCAGCTGAGCTGAGCTGCACTTCTCTCTGGGTGAAAAGTTCAATTTTCAAAGTGTCATAAATCCATGTGGGAAAGAAGCTTTACCTGTAATCCATTACCCTGCACATCTGAACCGCACAGGAGTACATTTAGGAGTTTCATCAGCTACATCAAGACATCATTTTCTTACCACATTTCCATCAGTCAGATCATTTTTTTTGATGTAACATGAAATCCATTCTGTTGTAAAAAGGCAGACTTTGTCAGATCTTTACCAACAGCTCTGATCTGGCAAACCTGAAATTGTTCTTTAGCTTTTGAGTTAAAATAACCTTTTCTACACTATTAAAGCCACAACAGTTTAACTGCACATATAGGTTAATGAATTTGCACTTGCAGCATCTTCTTAAATCCATCCTCGGAATGTGCCAGAACAAAATCAGATCCACTGACGTTCAATCCTGAAACCCACACAACCCAAAGAATGTGCTACCAACTTCCCAGTGCCCTAGACTGCAGCACACCTCTGGGATTCTGTGTCCTTGCCCTAACAGGTCAGAGTTTGGCAGCAGAAGGGGGATTTACTGAATAGCAGGTGTGCATCTACTGGGATCTTATTGTTTGGGGGATTTTGTGTGTGTCCATTTCTTGTGTCTCACTAAATCAAATTTGTAGAGCAGTCTCCTTGTGCTATAAAACTCCACAATTGTCATAGTCAAGTATGAGTTTGACATGTACATCAAAGCACTTTTCTCAGGACTGACAGCTTTGAGTACTTTGGAGGTGCAGCTCAGATGTGATACAGATACAGAACATTAAATATATTAAATATTCACATCTCCAAACACTTGAATGCAGCTTAAGTGGATGACCAAAAATCAGATGAAGTATTCCTTTAAACATGATCTATTATGGTTTCCTTTACTGTTAAATAGCCCTTCGAATAGGTTGTGCTGGCTAGATGTTGTAGTACTTGTCCCATCCTTTCTCTGTTGTGATTGGACTGGGAAAGTTTTCTGCAAAAACATATATATAACTTGAACACTAGCTTCAGATAGAGAGGAACCTGAGGGTTAATACAGAGGCTGTTGAAAAATGCAGATAAATGTATGCAGAACAGGACATACGTAACATCGCGCCCCAGCCCTGCAACAACCCACGTGCT